CAGGTGCTCACTCACTTCCCCTGCCCCTGGGATGGGGAAGAGAATTGGAAGAGTAAGAGTGAGAAAAACCCCTGGGTTGAGATAAGAACAGTTTAATAATTGAAATAAAGTAAAATAGTAGTAGTAATAACAACAATATAATAATAACAGTAATAAAAATATACAAAGCAAGTAATGCACAATGCAATTGCTCACCACCCGCCGACCGATACCCAGACAGTTCCCGAGCAGCGATCGCTGCCCCCCGGCCAACTCGCCGCAGCTTATATACTGAGCATGATGTCATGAGGTATGGAATAGCCCTTTGGTCAGTTTGGATCAACTATTCTGGCTGTGCCCCCTCCCAGCTTCTTGTGCACCTGGCAGAGCATGGGAAGCTGAAAAGTCCTTGACTAGCATAAGCAGTACTTAGCAACAACTAAAAACATCAGCATGTTATCAACATTCTTCTCCTACTAAATCCAAAACACAGCACTATGCCAGCAACTAGGAAGAAAATTAACTCTATCCCAGCCGAAACCAGGTCAAAGATCTATCACTGAAAGATGTGAGCTGTTCTAGAACCAGCAACAGAAGAAAATGACTGGTTTGGACTCTTTGCTATGAGGTTATGGTAAATTAATGCACAAGATAAGATTCCTGATGCTAATTTCATGGTGAATACAGTAAAGGAGTTTCCACAAGGGGCAAACTTGATGAAGTATAGCTGTCTATCCATCTTTTACATTGGGATCTGCTCCATGCTATACTCTGCCTCATATTCTGCTGCTACTACCTTGTACAACATGCTTCTGAACTAGGTGTTTCCAGTGAATCCTTGCTTAAGCTTGTCCTCTTAGTTTACTACAGCTTTCCAACCAAGTTCTGACTGTCTCTTCTGCTTCAGATCCAGGCCTACGTGATGTGCAACAAGTTGCGTTCTGCCTATCTAGTCTCGGTGAGACAGGAGAAGACCAGAGCGGTGCAGCTAGTCCAGCATGTGCGACAGCTGGCTGAGAACAGTGGAGATGACGTTGTGAAGGCCATCTGTGCCCAATGGCTCTCAGTGCACCAGCCCAAAATGAGAAATCGGCTTCCCCAGGGCACTAGGAAATAATAAGTAAGTGACTTTCACCTTCATACGGAAGGCTTCAAGACAGCTTAAAGGCGTGTGGTTCAGCAATCTCTTGGTAAAATGGAGGTCTCTTGACTGATGTTGGTGGCAAATGGATGCTGCTAACGTGCCTCTGGTGAAAGGAAGGGAACTAAATTACAAGTGCCAGTCCTGTATTTTGACAAACAGTCACTACCTCAGGGTGTTTTTTGGCTATCTTTTTGATGGGGGGAGGGGGCAGTTTCAAACTGAACAAGCAAGTATTTAGGTGTATGGAAGAGAGCACTTCTGTTTCTGGTTTGGAGGGTTTGTTGTTGTTTTGGGGGAGGTGTTTTGGTTGATTTTTTTTTTTTTCCCGAAAGGCACTGAACTTTATTGTATGTTTTTTATTTTTAATCAGAAAACCTATATAGAGAGGACAGCAAAAATCTCATCAACTCAGTGTAGCCTAGAGTATAAAACTTTTTGTGATTACGGGTTTCCTGTAAGCTTTTTAAAGATTGGAGAGATCTTTTACAAAGACTGAAATTCAGAGGTTTTTTTAGGCCTCTATACAAACTACTGCTACTTCCCTGCCCCCCAGTACAATGTGCCCAATTTCTTTAGTTCATTTGAAAAGGCAGGAACTGATTGTTCAGGGCAGGTTTCTACTTACCAGTCACGCTGTCTGATGTGTGCCATACATACGGCACTTGGGCCCGTACTTAGATGGATGGAATTACAAAGGACGTATCCTGTAAGGGGAGTATAAAGGGAAAATAATCCTTTAAAATAGTTGAAAAATCACGTACCTCTTTCTTTGCTATGGTAATATCCAATAAATTGTTGTGATGCAGCTTTATCACTGAAAAGTTGCCAATAAACTTCCACAGTTTTTCATGGGGTATAGCAGACAGCATGGACACGGCAAGCTGTGGTAAAGTTCAACAGGTGGTCTGTATCCCTGTCACACAGGGATTTATTTGTTTCTGACCAGAATAATCTGTCCCTGTCAGGCACAACAGAACACCAGACTAAATTTTTATTAACTGGACATACTGTATAGACTATATTGACAGGCTTTGCTGTGGAAGTGTTAGGTTGACTCCATTTTATGAAAAAGCAGGAATCTTTGTGTAATGGCTGTGTTCAGGGATGCTGGAAAAAAGCAGCTGCTTCTCTGCAACCGTGACTGGGACATGAGAAACGGGCAGAAGAATGGTAGACAGTAGTAGGACCTTCAAAAAGAAACAGAACAAAGTTCCACAAGAGTTTGTGTTTGCTGTTTACATGTGTTTTGGCACAAGAGGTAGGAAAACTCATTCACATTTTTGATAAAAAGTTTAGTTGTTTCCTTCAAAAGAAACAACAGGTTTTCTGAAATGTAATGTAACTGTAAATAGTTTTAGTACATATAGTAGAAACTGTCAAGCAAGAGTTTTGCACTATCGCCAAGCTCACTGTAGTGACAGAACAGACTTCCATGGTACTGGAAAGGACTTGGTCCGTCTCCTCTAGTGTTTCGTGAGCCGTGCCCCACTGACACAAACACCTCTCTTGGAGGTGCTCTGCTCGCTAGGGCAGGGCTAAAAGTGCCTCAGAGCAAAGCAGTCAGAAATGACCACATTTAGCTTTCACAATCTCCTGACCACAGATTTGCGTTATCTCATTAGCGAGCAGTACTAATGAAAGCTGGTTTTTTTTTCTTGGCCAGACTGACCTAGCTTTCCATCAGATTACAGCAGTTAGGCTAATTGTCAAATGTGACACCACCCATGTCTTCGATCATTTCCAAATCTCTGATTATGGGGAGGAGGTTTTCCCATTTGTGGGTATCCAGATCTGCATTGCTGTAATACCTACTTTTCTGCTCGAGTTCCTTCAGCTGTATAGAGCACGGAATGGAGTTTGCCATGCAGACCAGTCAGTTCTGTACCTGCCTTTCTTCCTGACCTCTTTGCACTGTACCTGATGCACTTTATATAGTGTTAGTTGTAATTTGATGTTCTTAACCTGGAATCATAGGGATCTTTCTGTAACCAGCAGAACTGGAATTTTGATCTGGATTAACTGCCTTGTGTCACGAGTAGTGCAGTTATCAAGGGGCTTTGAATTTCTGAGCATCAAAAAGGGATCGAGTACTGCCAGTTAAAAAGAACTTCTCTATTAATGACCACGGTTTGTTTACAATGAAAAAAGAGAATAAAGTATTATGACTGTTAACGTATCTTCTGTTTGCTTTTTATCTCGGCGCAGCTGGGGATCTCTTTCTAGATCTGTATTTTGCTTTTGGCTATGCTTAGCAGAGTAATTAGAAGGGGGAGAATTGTTCTGTCATGCAAAATCTCTCTCTGGCAGTGTCTTCAACATTTAGAGCAATTGGAGTACCACACCTTTAGAAGTCCTTCCAGTAGCTAGGTAGCTGGCTCGGCCTCATACACGTACTCTCACAGACCAGTAATCCTCTTCAGAGAGCTTTGCGAGTCAGTCTTAACTCTCTCTTACAAGCTTCCCTTTGAGACAGCTAAATGAGCTTTAGTTCCCTCATTTTACAGATCAGCCTCGCAGAAGGTATAAATGACTTGCCAAGGTCAAAAAGACCGGCTGTGTGCCTATGGAAACGTGTAGTTATGTGTCTTTTTAAATCTACAATCAAACTTCTTTGAGAAGAGCACTGACATAAAAGGGCAAAATATTTCTGCCTAGAGACACTCTCTGCTTTTTTTTTTAAAATGGTTTGTATTGCTCCTGAAAGCCACTTTCAAGATCAGAGACTCCCACAGAAAGCAAGCAGGGCAAGCCTGCAATGCTAGGTAGCATTGTACTGCTACGTTGTAGTTGTGGATTTGGCTTCATATTCAAGATGAAGCATAAAGAGGGAGGAAAAAAGGTAAGAGTGACAGGGAGAAGCACAAAGGGACTTTAAAATGTCACCCAAACTGAGTTCTCTACATTAGTAAGGCAGGTGCAGATAACAGCAAGTAAACCGATTCAACATTTCTGAAGGAAGATACTGTCTCCTGTTGTAAAAGGAAAATGGCTTTATTTAGTATTGCTCAGAGGTAGCACAGGACTGATCTGCATAGATAGCATCCAGGCAGAAAGAATTAATCGTAAAATTAGCATTTGTTTCCCAAAAGTGGCAGTTGGTCACAGAGGCATGTTCATATGCAACTCCAAAAACTTCCACTTTTTTTTTTTTTTTTCAGAGGCAGAAGGTAATCCCAGCAGCCTGGGCCAGCCAAGGCCAGTAACTGCTGGGCAGACAAACGTAAGGATTTCTGTGCAAGTCTTACTTTCCTGTCCTGTAGCTAACGACCGCAATACCAAGACAGTCCTGACCTCTGCTTCAGCTATGTAGCTGTAGGTAGTTTGCTGTCATTTCAAGCTAAAGCCTCAGCTGAAGTTGTTTAACGTTTTTTAACATAGTTGAGATGTTCTTGACTGATTCTGCTCTCTTTTCTAGCTTCTAAAGTAATTTAAAGTGCAGCTGGGGGGTTTATTGTGGCAACTTTTACACCATTTTTGCTCAGTGCTTCATGGGAGAGGGGTTAATTTCTGTAATAACTTGCCTACACACAGTTGCGGCACTCCCGCAGCTTTTAACCTCCCAGTCGCCTGCACTGAGAGCTGGTTGCTTAAAAGATAGCCAACCCTCAGTTAGCTTGCTGCAATCAGTGGGCATTTGGGGCCAAGATACTTCAGTGGCTAGGGTCCAGCTTCTTACGGAGACTATAGAGAAAAATAATTGATTCCACTTAAAAATTTTACTTAATGCTTGGCACAAAAAGGCCAGCATCTGTTTCTGTGTTCTTGAGAGCATTTGTATTGCATGTAATTGCCAGAAAATCTAATATCCTAAAGTACTTTCACTCTGCCAGGTCAAATAGTAGGAACAGAAAATAACCTCATAGATCATAAGTTGAGAGTCCTACCTTTTTACTATTGCTGTTAGGAAAAAACACCCCACCTTTAAATGAAGGTAATTCTTTGTTTCTTCATAATCTAAACCTAAGACTGCACCCTCCATTTCTATTCTAAAGCCAGAGAACAATAGGGTCTCGCTGTTATGTGAAATACCAAGCAAAGGTTTCTCCCTGCATGGGTGCTCTAATTCTTCAGCTAGGCAGCAGGATCGGTTGCTTACAAATCTCAATCCTTAAGTGTAATATTCCAGAAAGTCACATTAGGTTATGTCCATAGAGCCATCATTAGGGCAGCTGAAGTATCAGTGTTGTAGTCTTGAGGTCTCTCAGCAGTGCTCTTCCCAGGAGAAGCATCGCCGGGCTCAGCCAGGTAGACTCTTGAAGTCTGCGCTGCTCAGTCCCACTGGATGCCGAGGAGCTCGCAGCTCACGCTCCAGAGCTTCTTTGCTGTCTCGTCATCCCGACCCCGTGGAGATACGTATGCTGGCTGGCAATCACTGTAAGAGGAACATTTTTTTTTATTATTTTTAAGCCAAAGATCTCCATCTGCATTAGCACACTGAAATGTCTGTGTTAAGGGAGTTGCCTTCTATCAGCTTAACTTCAAGACTAATTGAAGAAGGGTGGGAGGCTCCCCAGAAAATGAGCAAGGGTTGGTGCTAAGCCACCTTGAGAAAGCTTTCTTTCCAACAGGCTAGGGCAGAGTCTGTCCCAATTGCATTAAGAACTGGCAAGCAAGTCTAGCTCTTTCTGTTGTCTCAACTCTGAAAGAAACCTGTATACGCTCTACTGTGTACTCCTCAGTGTACATTCTCCTTAATACCACTAAAAAGGGCTATAAACATTAAGCTTCTTCAGGAGCACCTTTTCTAGCAAACGCTACAAAAAAGCCACTCAAACAGCCCTTCCTTCTAAACTATTTATCCCATCCTATTCATCCCACTATATTGCCATTGCATGAAAGGCAAATTTGTCCCAGAATAATAATACTGTAATAGCCATGTACAGTTATCCCCTTCTCTGTTAGCCTCTGAACTGTGGCTCCTTTCTTCTCAGCTCCTGCAATAAGACAGCGCTCTTGTCTGGAATAGAGATCATGTGTTCTCAGCTGTAGTGCTAGATGCTGCAGTAACGTGGGCTTTTAAGAGAACAGAAGAAATTGTATCTTGTAAGGCTTCTATCCAGCCTAGTGTTTTTAGAGCTTAAAGTGCACAGTCTCTGATGTTCCTGAAATGACTCTGATGGACTCCATCTGTCTTGCTGTGGCATCCAAATTCTTTTCTTAATGTCTGTACTTGTGCTTTATATTCTATTACCTGGAAAGTGAAAAGGATTTTAGGCTAGTCCAATGTAAATTGTGAATTACTGTTGAAGCTATTCATTTCCCACCAAGTCCAAAACTCCTTTCTTTTAAGAGTTTAAAATCCACTGAAGTTTTCTGTACTCCAACACATAAATGCTCCATTTATATCCTGGGACAGACAGTCATCCGGGAAAGATTAAGACATCTATTTATATATTCAAGTCTGACTAAGATGGTACAAACTCCCAAGTGAAGATCAGACAAAGTCATGACAAAGACTAATCTGTTGACATATCACAAGAGGAAAGTTCTGCAAAGATGCAAAGGCTCCAACAGTATCGGGGCGGAGGTGACAGATTTTCACATTCGTTTCCCAAAAACCAGTATTGTTACACTGCTCTAAGCTGACAGACACATCTGCACGAATCTGTTCAAATGGCAGTCTTCAAATCTACTATGATGACTACTTGGAACTGCTCTGGGATATAGTTTTGGTGAGGGGAAAAGGCGTGACACTGTGCAAGGTCCTGGAATAAGTCAAAGAAGTCAAGAAACAACAGGTTTTGTAGTGGGAGCTACACAGGACAGTTTGCGGGACAGAGCGATAAGCATGCCAGCAGGAGTCTCTCCCAGCTAGGGGGTCTTTCACACTAGAGAATCAAGTTATTTTGTCACATGCCAGTCCTGAAAATCTCACCTCCTAGCTCTGCAGTACCATCAGCCCTCCCAGCTCCCTGGGAGCACAGGCCCCTTCTGCTCCAGTGGCGTAAAACTACACAGAGAACCAAAGTGGTCTTCCCAGGATTGACTCAAGTGACCTCCCTAACTAAACAGCTGTACTGAAAAGTGATTTGCCCAGGTCTTGAGCAGATCAGGATTAGAGCTCTGCACATGTGACAGCCATTCCTGCACTTTGAATACGGTGATATTCCTAGCACTAAAGGATCCCCTATTGTGTGAAGTGTTGCACAGGTCAGGAATTTCTTCCAACATGCTATCCACTGCAACAGATCTGAAAGGGGTAACGCTCTAGTATTTGTCACCCTCAATCTTATCAGCCAGTCTCTTACCCAGCCCCTACTTAACGAAGAATGACAGTAAGTCTCATTTTCCCCAGCCAACAAGGTTGCCTTCCACAGTATATCACTCCATCAGCTTGCACCCACCTGAAATACTGTCCTGTCACAGAGTCTAGCTCCTCTGCTACCGCACAGTAGACACTGGTCTGAGCTCCTTCCCAAGGTGTCTTCAAGAAGAATGAGAATATCTTCCACAGCCATATCATTACAAATGAGTGCCGGACCAGCTCAGAATAGACAGAACCAGGATGGAGAGCATTTGCTGTGACTTTAGTGCCTACGGCAAAAGAAAGTAGTCCAGGACAAATCTGCATGCATCAAACTGCCTTTAAAAGAAAGGGTAATATAGTCCTTAATTCTACCTGCAGATATTCTACAACTTAAAGGAGGAGTCCAGGCACAGAAACAGAGAAGAGTGAGTGAAGTCCTCTGTAGTTACTGCTTGCTGGAGCATGCCCCGTTCCCTTCCAAACACTGCAGTCACTACATGCCTTCTGCAAAACAATGTGCTAGAGGGCCTGGGTGCTAAAACAGCAGCAGTTTCCATCAGGCTTTTGAGAACACCAGCTTCTTTTGATGTACTGATTTCCTAGAGAAGACACTACTTCTGTTTTAGTAAAATAAATACTACTTAAGTACGTAGTATGCAGTCACGTGGCTGTGACAGATGTTGTGACTTAAGAGGTACTGTCTAGTCCTATGCTTCTGTTCTACAGGCCATCAACATTTAAGGCAGCTGAGTATGTATTATTAGCTTTTCAGTTGGAGACTGCAATTGTAGTTCAGCTGCTTCTGGGTTTTTTTAGCTTCCACCCACATACCACAATTGTCTGCGTGGATGCAGCTAGTTTTTGACAAGCACCAAAGAAAAATGAGATACATTCAACTGTGCCAAGCTACTGACCTCCTCTGCCCTGTTGTTGTAAAGACAACTAGTGTTTTATGTCTCCTGTTTCCACAGACAGGGGATATTTTCTTCGTGCAAAGAGCTGTCGGTGACCCTTGCCTCAAACCATTTCATTTCTGCATAGCCAATTTCCAGACCTTTCTTCAATCCACTCTCCCCATCCATGCTGCTCAAAAGCCAAGCGAAAAAACACTCCGCTTGCCTCTGGGACTTGCCTTGCAGACGCCTCGCCAGCTCCCGGGTGAAGAGCACGTTAGCCAGTTTGCTGTGACAGTAGGCGAGGCCACGATTGTAGCTCTTCTCACCATGGAGATCATGGAAGCGGATTCGGCCTCCGTGATGAGCCAGTGAGGACACGTTCACTATGCGGGCTGGGGCAGACTGCTTCAGACGCTCCAGCAATAGGAAGGTCAAGAGAAAATGACCTAGGGGTGAGAGGAAGTGTCATCCTTCTCTGAAGGGTTCCCTTGCTGGAATTTCAAAGTACTTACACAAGACATTACTTACATGTTCTATCTTACTGCTGCCCTCATTTCAAGTCCAGGCAAAAGAAGACACTCCCCCTCCTCCCCCCTCCCCCCCCAAATCAACAGCTAAACTTTTTTGGGGCCCTTAAGTACTGCTCCTCAGCTTCAAAAAGCAGGAGCTGTCATATATTTCAAATGTCCCAGGTAACACGTACAGATACTTAAACTGGGTCCTTGATAAGCACATACATTGCATTGCATCTCCAGAACTCTTAACTCTGGCCTTCCATCCTTCTCCAAGGAGGAAGCACGAGGAAGAGAAAATCTGAAAGCAGGATTTTTGTCTGGCATTTTGCCACAGATACTGAATGCAAACATGACTGCCCTGGCCTTACCAAGATGATTGACTCCCAGGTGCATCTCAAAGCCATCAGCAGTCTTGGAGTAAGGGCATAACATGACCCCAGCATTATTAATGAGAATATGGAGTTCCTTCTCCTCTGCAAGAAAAAAGAGGCATCCTTAAACAGGGAAACAGAGACCAAGGACGAACAAGGAGGTGGCACAAGTCAGCCAGAAAAACCCACACCTGTCTGAGTTGCAGCCACGTCGCCTCAATAAAATAAGGCTAAGTCTGCTACCACAAACTAGCTCATGGCCTCTGACAAGCCCCTGCTGTAAACCACAGTACCCAACATGGTACAGAGGTATGCAGGTCAGCGATGTGGCATTTGCTAGAAGAGCAGACAGCAGACCTTGGTAAAGTATTCTCACTGAAAAGAAGGATCTAGAGACTGTACCTGCTAGAAAATTCTCAGCAAACTCCCGGATGGACTTCGTGTCAGCCAAGTCCAGCTTTTTCACAATGACTTGCTGGTTCCCTGTCTCAGCTTGGATTTCACTGGCTGCAGCTTCTGCCTTTGCTATGTCTCTGCAAGCAATAATCACCCTCGCACCTGCAAGGGGGGGGAAAGGAGGAACAGAAGGACACTGGAGCACACCGCACAATCAAGGTTATGACAAGCAGGCTGACCACGCACAGTGCTTACAAACAACACATTGTTTCTTTAGGGAATTGGCATCAGTCAGGGGAGCAGCTGGGAGGGACAAAGCCTTTCCTACTATCTTTTCAGCTCCTATCCAGCCCAAAGTTATTTTTCAGACCAGGAAAATGCACATCTGGAGTGCCTCTGTTCAGGTTCTCCCAGGTCACGAGTGTGTACCACAACACTGGTATGATAGGGTTATATCTGCCCCTATAATGGGAACGTCAAGCCAGGAGCACATGAAGATACTTGGATTCAGGCCAGAGTCATTTCTAAACAGATTTGTGAACAGGTAGTTTAATCTCCTTACCAGTTACCCAAAAGGCATTTAAACCCAATTAGCTTGAAACGTGAATAACTAAAGCACAGAGCACTGGATCTATGGCATTTCCCAGCTTCACACAAGCAGAACCCAGTGATACCAGGAACTTCCACTGTCCTCTTGAAACAGTTGCAGTGCAGAGCATTTTCATGTCACCAGACACATTTTTGGAGTTCAAGCAATGAAACCAGCTGAGAAACTGGGGACTTGCACCTAAGTGGTTACAGCCTCCGGACAAGCAACACTTGGGCTTGCCTGAAACAACTTTGGAATCCAACTCGCTTAAACGTGAGCATAAAATACTCCTCCCTTAGGTCCTGAAAAGGGACTACTGATGCACAGGCGCACACGCGTCAGCCCCACAGGGATGCCTGCTGATGAAGGCTGGCGACTTGCCTCTTCGGGCGAGGTCTCTGGCCGTCTCCTTCCCGATGCCTGTGTTGGCTCCTGTGACTATGGCCACCTTCCCCTCCAGCCTCGCGGTCGACTTACACTGTCCTCCAGCGACATACCTCCTGCAAGAGAGGGACCCGAGGACACCTTCCCTCCTTAGGGGACCCGGGTCAGGGCCGAGCCCCCAGAGCCCCAGGTTTCGCCCCAACGGTCGGGGCTGCCCGCTGCGCTCAGGGCCCCGGGGAGTCACGGGCATCGTCACCTGAAGAGGTTGATCGCGATCGTGCCGCGACCAGGCCACCGAGTCAGGTTCCCCGTTCGCCCTCCAAGCTCCCCCCCCTCCCGTGCTCTGCAAACGCGGCCGGGGACCGGCCTGA